TTCCATGAAGAAATTTTTCCTAATATCCAATCTAAACCTCCCCTGGCACAGCTTGAGCCCATTTCCTCTCGTCCTATCATTAACTACTTGGGAGAAGAGACCAACACCCACCTCACTACAGCCTCCTTTCAGGTAGTTGTAGAGAGTGATAAGGTCTCCCCTCAGCCTCCTCTTCTCCAGACTAAACAACCCCAGTTCCCTCAGCCGCTCCTCATAAGGCCTGTGCTCCAGACCCTTCACCAGCCTTGTTGCCCTTTTCTGAACATGCTGCAGCACCTGAATGTTCTTAAGGTAGTCTTTAAAAAAAAAAAAATCATTTTATCTAAATTTCTGTGGTCTGTTCTTTTTGTCTTTGACCTCTGTATTTGCTCCCTAGTGAAAATGCACTGTGTTAAACTATGTAGTAGCCATTAATTTCTCTTGTTTTTTAGCAAAAAACAGTGGAATTGTTGAACAGTCACCACTCTATGTCAATCCTCGGCAAGGCCAGTCTATCAACATTACCTGTGCACTGAAAAGCTCACATGAAGATGAAGGGATCTTCTTGCTCAAGACTCACATGCAACCTGAAAGAGTATTATATGTTTCAAGTCAGAATGCTTCAACTATTTTTCCTACTTTTGCTAATCGCTTGGAGTATTCAAAGCAAGGAAAGAAAATAGTGATAACTCTGCATAACATACAGAAAACCGATAGTGATATATACGTATGTGCTGGCGTGTTGAAAAATACCTCTTTCCTCTCAGTGAATAGAAGTGGCACCATGATCCTGATTAAAGGTACTATCCTTTTGCTTGTTTAATCATAAATAACTATACGCATATTGTAATACAAAAGGTGGACTAAAAGCTTGCGGAACTTCAGTCAGGAGAGGTAGAGCACTAATCCATGGCTAGAGTTCTTCCAGTGCCTGGGAGAGTTTGGAGAGAGTGCTCAGACTCCTCTGCACCCTGTTGTACTAGGACACAGAAACAGGCACTATGTTTCTACCTGCCTTGTACAACCAGAGAGAAATTATAAAAGAGAAAGCTTGCTATAATCCCACTTTTTTTTAAAAAAAAAAAGGTCAAAATCAGACAACAAACACTTCAGTGTGTCTGTGAGTAATCTGTCAGTCTTAGGAAATGAATCAGTATTTTTAGCATCAGTTCTTTGACCTTAATGTGACCCAAATGTCTTTTAGAAACCATTCCCTATAGCAAGTCTTTGTGTTTAAAAATAGGTCACAATAGGGAGTACAGATCAAGCCCTCAGGAATTTACTTAAAGTACCACAGATAATAGCAGACATGATCTCACACACCCTTATTATACACTGAGCACACTCTGAGCATGTCCTGGTTTTGGCTGGGATAGAGTTAATTTTCTTCCTAGTAGCTGGCATAGTGCTGTGTTTTGGATTTAGTAGGAGAATAATGCTGATAACACGCTGATTAGTTGTTGCTAAGATCTGCTTATGCTAGTCAAGGACATTTCAGCTTCCCATGCTCTGCCAGGTGCACAAGAAACTGGGAGTGGGCACAGCCAGAATAGTTGATCCAAACTGACCAAAGGGCTATTCCATACCATATGGCATCATGCTCAGTATATAAGCTGGGGGGAGCTGGCCGGGGAGCAGCGATCGCTGCTCGGGAACTGGCTGTGTATTGGTCTGCAGAAGGTGAGCAATTGCATTGTGCATCACTTGCTTTGTATATTATTATTATTATATTGCTATTATTATCATTACTATTTTACTTCATTTCAATTATTAAACTGTTCTTATTTCAACCCAGGAGTGTTTCTCACTCCTGCTCCTCCGATTCTCTCCCCCATCCCACCGGGGTAGGGGGAGTGAGCGAG